CTTCAGAATGAGTGTACTGGTGCAGGACTATTTACACGGTGAACTGTAGTGCATGCAGGTCACTGTACCTTCAGAATGAGGAACTCTGCCAACTCCATGTGATCAAAAATGGTCGCCCTGGGAGCAGAACCACCAGACAGAGAAGACACTGGATCATTAAGGTTTGTTTTAATGCTACCGGTGTGGATTTAGTAGGAGAGACACAGACAGTGATTTTAATAAACATGACCATAAAGCATAATGAACTGCACTGCTTATTTAACTTTATGATACAAAGCATTATGAATCATAACACTGCGGCTGGCCTAGCTGTACTTGTCTTATTAAATGGAAAATAGAACAGTGTGTTTGAGTGATAAGACATTAATAGTGCTGGAGAGTATTTCCCCTTTACACTGTGACACTGGACAAGATAAACTGCACAGCAGGAAATGAAGAGTATGTTTAAGACTCGTAAAAAGTGGTAATTATTGACCTGGACTCATTTAGACGGCTCTTGGCTGTGGAACTACACAGAGTGATGTAAGGTCTTATAATTAAGGACAGTTGTCTATTTATAAGACACATATCTGGCTTAACAAGGTTGCTCAGAAATCTGTAAAAATGTTTAGCTGTGTTCTGAATGTTAACTAAAAAGACATTATAATAACAACAGCCAAGTTAGATGAATCAGTGTGATGCAGAATAGTCTAGAATAGAGTAGTTTGTGAAAGATGAGATATGAGTCAGTGTCAGTGCTCTATCAAAACCAAGAAGTATGTTGAATATTCAACTTTGCCAGTAATTCATCAGTCATGCGGCCAAAAGGGACAGTGCTGGCCACCTGTGCAGGGGTGTGTGCAGTGCCCCGTCAGTGATGTTGATAATGTCCTCAACCCTGTCGTACGCCGACAACATGAGCTTGACCACCTCCAGTGCCCCCTGTGTGCAGGCCAGGTGGAGGGCTGTAGATTTGTCACTCTGTTTCAGGAGGAAGAAGTGGGTCTGTCACACTGTGTTACAGAATGGAAGCACTTCTATTACACAGAATTACAGACAGGAAGTGGGTCTGTCACACTGCATTACAGTGAGGACATGGCTCTGTTACAAAGAATTACGGGAAGTGGATCTGTCACACTGTATTACAATAAGGAAGTGGCTCCGTTACACAGAATTACAGACAGGAAGAGGGTCTGTCACACTGCATTGCAGACTAGAAGTGGGTTTGGTACACTGCATTTTATAGAGGAAGTGGCTCCTGTCACACTGCATTACAGAAAGGAAGAGATTGTTACAGTGCATTGCAGACTAGAAGTGGGTCTGTTACACTGCATTACAGACTAGAAGTGGGTTTGGTACACTGCATTTTATAGAGGAAGTGGCTCCTGTCACACTGCATTACAGAAAGGAAGAGATTGTTACAGAGAATTATAGAGAGGAAGTGGGTCTGTCACACTGCATTGCAGACTAGAAGTGGGTCTGTTACACTGCATTACAGAGACGAAGCGACTTTATCGATATTACACATGGTGGTTCCCATCTGTTATAAGAGGAAATATTGCCACTTCCAGTGAACACTGGATATATAAAGTGAAGAACTCCAGGAAAACAGTTTACCTGCTGCTGATCAATTTTTGCTCCTTTAGCGATACACAGATTTATGACGTCGATGTTTCCTCCACGCACAGCTAAGTGAAGAGGGCTGCTGAAGGACTTGTCTGCATAGTTTATGTGCGCCTGCACTGTGTGGCCCATCTCCTCACCTGCGTGTGAGCAGAAAACCACAGGAAGTGACATCAGTGGAGCCGATGGGTGAATGTCAGTATTCACAAAAACTTGCAGGCATGTTGTAACTGGTATCCTAGGCTATCAGGACCCCTCTGTGGTCCTGTTTCTATGTGGGTTTCTGAAGGTATCTCACCTCTTTTCAGAATCGCCTCCATGGCCCTCTGAGACCCAGCAAAGGCGGCCGCGTGGATGGCAAAATGTCCCAGCTTGTTCTGCCGGCACATGACCGCTCCGTGCCTGAACTGGAGAGGACGGCAGCAGCACTGGTCTTCCTCCCATCATTCACCAGTATATTTATTACATACTGGGCTGCCAATATACATAAGGCATCCCAGAACATGCTTTTCATAGCATTCTACCCAGAATTCTCACTGCTCACCAGTATACTTAGTGCCTCACAGTTGTCGATAGAGCAAGCCAACATCACAGCCGTGTTTCCATGGTTACCCTGAAGGTTGATGTCTATATTCTTGTTAGAAAGTAGCACCTTGAACAAAAGTGATAGAAATGTTAACATTCCGGCTTTGAAGGTCCGTCGGCTTCTTAATGACACTGATGAGATGAATCTCCGTGGGTCGGCAGGATGCCAGTCCTGCTCCATATCTTTCACTGCTTCTAATCGCATCTCAACATCAATCTGCAGCCACTTCTATCTTCCTATCAATTGCATAATCCCATAAATGAATAAAAAAAATGACCCATATCACATATTAAGGTATAGTGGGTAGGAGATACATGACTTCACCCACAGACTCGTACTCAGCCAGGTCTTGTGGGTATGAGATACACCACTCTCCACACACTCACGCTTAGCAGGGTGATGTGGATATGAGATACACCACTCTCCACACACTCACGCTTAGCAGGGTGATGTGGATATGAGATACACCACTCTCCACACACTCAC